ATAAACAACTAGTGTTTTCTTGGCTTATAGGAACCCTCCAACGACTGAAGTGATGTGATTGGTCCATACATGGGAGTTGGTTGGTTGAGCAAATTGAATGTTTTCTGTTGAACTTTAGCCATCACCTGAAATAACATGCTCTTTAAACATTGAAGTCTTGGCTTGTAGAAACCAAAGAGGCATGTGCTCAGTTAAAATCATACATCAGACTTGTTGCTTAAGCAACTTAGTTAAGTTGTTTCAGTAGTTCTCAGTCTACCCTTGACAAAACCAGGTAGTCTGTTTTCTCTGAGAACATGAAGGAATTCACTGACAAATTCATATGAAGGTCTATTTCCAAGAAAAATAATGTAAACTCACAAACAAATGTGGTACTAGGTTGGGCAATATTGTCAAAAAATGAATCACAATTAGTTGTGGTATTTAGCTGATCAGGATTAATTTGATGATTGATCCTCTTGAGGCCCTGGACACCCTTATGTCCTGGTCACATGATAAATTTAGTGGGAAAGATTTGCTCTATGTAAAAATCTGTTCCAAATTGTGTCATAATTACAGATTTCAGGCTATACTCCAAATCTTGAATTGTGTTGATAGATAAATAAATTACAGAACTTTTTATTTTACTGTTCGTCATATTTGAAGRYGAGAGGAGCAGTGAGCGAACTGACAGGAGAAATCAGTCGGTCTGCAGGTAGCATCAATCATATTAATCATCAAGTGTCAAAAAATGAACAATTAATGTCTTTCTGACGATTAATTGCACACGATACGATTATGCCCAACCCTATGTGGTACATACATTTTTTGTTTTGTTTTTTGAGATTCTTCTAAATACAGTAGCTAATTATTTAGAGGTGACTCTTACCACCCCATGTGCTCCCCATAGTTAAGCCCCTGCATGGTGATGTTATTTTCAAGGTTTATCTAAAATTGGTATAATTTCATAATTGGATTATTTTAGTATGCCATGCAAGCGTCTCATTACTCAGAGCGTTTTATTTTGAAGGACCTTGCCGGAAACTCGGCTGTTCACTGCGTCCATCCTGTCGCTCTTGCCTCCGGCWCAGACACCGGCCAGCCGTTGCCAGGACAGCCGAGCCTGAACGCCCTCGGCGCGGGGACCGCCAGCTTGTCCCCGGTGTGACGGAAAGCACGAGTTAATAAACAATTTGGCTCGTTTGGTGAGAAAATGTGTTAGTAGTTTAGTGAAATATTAAGAACTAAAGGGTTCGGCGGTAAGTTTTAGAAGAGTTCCAGGACTATACACCACAGCCAGGATGAGACCCGGGCGAGAGGGCAGCGACTCGGGCATCGCGTTAAGGTTCGCACCGGCGGCGTAATTCCTGTGAATTTTCCCACCATGGAGGAGAAGCTCCACAGACTCATCTTCATCCCCATCGCCGCCGTCCTCTTCCTCATGATCGGCTACCAGTACGTGTGCCCGGCGGACAGCGGCACCTGCAGCTTCGGGACCGAGCGGGAGGAGAGGGGGCTCCTCCGCAAGTACTCGCCCGGGTTCCACGTCGCCTCCTCGGAGCCCGAGGCGGACGACGACGACGACCTCCCGTCGAGGATCCCGACCCGGTTCAACTTCACGGAGCGGGACCTGGACAGGCAGGTGGAGTTCGCGATCCGCGGGGACGACGTGATGGTCTTCTTGCACATCCAGAAGACCGGCGGGACCACGTTCGGCCGGCACCTGGTGAAGAACATCCAGCTGGAGCAGCCGTGCGACTGCCTGCCCGGCCAGAGGAAGTGCACCTGCCACCGGCCGGGCAGAGCCGAGTCGTGGCTCTTCTCCCGGTTCTCCACGGGCTGGAGCTGCGGGCTGCACGCCGACTGGACCGAGCTGACGAGCTGCGTGCCGGTGGTGATGAACAAGAAGGACAAGAAGAGGAGCAGGAAGTGAGTGGATCTGTTTTATTAAACTAACTCAAAAACAAACAAACAAAAAAAAAAACCCCTTTTATAAATGTCTTAATAATGCTTTACAACTAGGTTATTCATCAGTTCATAAAGCATCATTTTATTTTCGTTTTTATTCTTTCGTTTAAAGTTATTTAGTGGAAAATCTAAACAGAACAAAAATTAAATATACCTTACAAAATAAAAGCTCGTCATCCTTCCAAATAACGAGTTAATTTTAATGTTTAAATAGTGGTTTYTACATAATACTATGCTTAATGAAGTGGTTATAAACTCAATAATAACCTATTTAGAATGCATTAATAAATGTGTTATGAAGGGACTGTAATTGAGAAGTTTTTTTAAATTATTGGGTCAAAATGAGGCCTCAGTTTTGGCGCTTTTAGTTGGAAGTTTTAAGAGGTAAATTTATTTATTTATTTATTTATTTATTTATTTTGTTGGGGGGGGGTGTTGTATCAAAAACAATTTCTTCTGTAAACATGAGAATTATTTAAACACAGCCATTTTTATTCCAGCTCAGATTAAAATAATCTGTCCTTCTCCATATTTATGTTGCTTTGACTGCCCCTCGAAAATATGGAAGTGAAAAAGTAAATATTTTAAAATTACGTCATTGCTGTAATGACGTAATTTCAATAAAAATCAAATAAAATATAAAAATTTAATTTGTTTTAATGTTTATCTTTTAGTAAACACTTACATAAAACATTCTTGTGGCCTATACTTCAATTTAAAACTTTAAGAACTTGTTTGTAGAGTTTCTGTGTCAAAATTTTGGTAAGAGCCYGCGTCCTTGGTTGATGACGTCATCAGTGCCCCAGCCAGTGGTTAGAGGTCTGATGGATATTCAACCACACCAGAACCRGAACCACGTGACCAGGTGACGACACCGTGGCGAATCCCTCCTCCCCACAGCAACAACGTTGGGTTTTTGAAAGACTTAGCGACGTGTCTGACCTGGTTCTGGTCAGTGTGCTCCTCCTCCTATAGTGATCCACTCAGAGACCATCTACAAACCACTGACTTGCTTCAGAAGACAAAACGAACAGCTTTCATGTCGTGAACCTCTGAACAAAAGTTGATGTTGAACTGGACAAATGAGACGCAACAATTTAGAAATTATTTTATCCTGGAACTGAACAGATACAGTTTGATGGCAGCTTATCGTTCATGATTCAGTTGAGCCGTCAGGAGGTTGGTTTCAGGACTGAGGAGGACACTTTGAAGAATCACATCTGAGTATGAGCTTCTTGACTGTCTCTTCATCAGTGGGCTCTTTTGGAAAATATTAGTAGTATCACTTAATATTTACATTAACAAACTAATTAATAAATATCATGTATTAGTACTTGCATCAGTACTCGGTACTCTGTCTAAAATATTGCTATAAAAACACAAGCATTATAACAGTTGTCTTCTGTGTTTTTATTAATAATCAGTTACCAGTAAAACCCTGAATCTCAGCCTGACTGAAGTACAATGTGTATTTGTGTTGTTGTACAACTTGTCAGAGGTGTGTAACTCTGAATACAGAGCTGATAAATATGCAGTGTTAACGTATCAGCACCAAGAGTCGAGGCCTCCACACTGACAAGCAGAGGGGGGGACGCCCCCTCATTCAAAGGCCTGTTTCAGTTTTCTGTAATTACAGCAGCAAAGCTAAGCTTGTTGAAATAAATCAGTTAAGCAGGGCAGGGTCCTCTGAGGTGTGAGGCTTATGTGTTTGAAGCCAATTTGGCTCTCAGTTGGTTCAGAGAGCAAATCTCCATATGTTACTGAGAGAGTGGGTCGGGGAGGAGCCGCTAAAGAACCTTTCGAGTCCATTAACCGGACTAAGCGGCACCGTCAGACTTCATTTAACACTCCGAGACYGTTCTGAAGAGAGTCGCCCGCTCGTTTGACCCGATATAACTTACAGTGACGCACGGTCCTGATGGCTGCAGATGTAAAATAGAATCCAATCTGCTGAGTCATGTTTCACAGAGCTAATAAGTGCTGAATTAACACGTGTGGGTGTTGATTTACCGACGGGTTTTTCTTCGGTTTTTACTAACCCAAGACTGTATCTGTTACACTTCTGTCTGGTGATGTGATTCAGGACTGAAATGGTCTTGTCTGCTGAGGGTCGAAGGTCGGTCCGACAGTTCCCTCAAGGTGCTAATCAAGATCCTTTAATTGTGTGTCTTGTTTTCTAACKGAAAGTGGTAAGTTTAAGCCTAGCGTAGAAAAACTCAGCAGCTCAACCTTGGAAAGTGTCAGACAAGTTGTGAGWCACAAACCTGCCAGTTTCTGTTTTTAGACACTTGAAGATCCGGTTCATGAGCCTCGTCGTGGGCAGTCGTTTCTGTGAAGTTGTCCTGATTGCTTTTTTACTCCACATAATAAAAAATAAACAAATTTTTGCCTCATAATGTCCACACAAAAGAGATATTTTAAAACATCTTCTGAATTAGAGACTTTTAAGCAGCAGATTATATCACAGGTTCAGTATTTTTGTGTTCTAAAAACCCAAACAACTGAGTGGTTTTTTTTGTGACCTTGTTTCATTTGAATCCTGTTGATGTCAAGCTTTGTGAGCTCAAAGGGTTAATAACAGAGGAGGCTCTTAGGCCAAATGAAAGAAAAACTACAAAGAAAAATGGCTTTCATGAAGACGTGTACAAAATGTCTCAGGTTTATGACCATTCTTAAAGGAATATTATATATTTCCAGTAGTTCATTTCTACACCACAATCAGCTATGTTACCTTCAGTTGTTATGAAGATGCTGTATATATCAAAAAAATTGGACTTTGCATCATAGTCTTTCTAAACACCTTGATATTGGCCTCTGTCTCTTGAAGAACCTCCTACTGTTTCCAACACTCCCATTTCAGCACATCTTCACAAATTCTCACTCCCGACTCGTCACATGGAGCTTGTCCAAGGTTCCCTCTGCGTCCAGTTTTGGTGCGTCTGGTAACCCCCTCACATCAGTTATTGAGGCACAGGACTTTTCTGGGTTCGTGCCACATGGGGTCTTTAGGTTGGGATACACTGTTAAGATTAGGGATCAGGATTACTGGTTAATTTTATGTAGTGAGGTCAGGGATAGGTTGTCTAGGGATAATAGAAGTTAAATTTAGGGTTTGGGATGGTTAGTTGTCATGCATTTTCTACACTTTTCAAAAAATATGACAACGGGCTCCTCCTCCTTGTTCTCATCRCATCAATAACTGATGTGAGGGTGTTTCCTGATACGGCAAAACCGGACGCAGAGGGAACCTGGACCAAGCGTCAATATGTGACGAGTTGGGAGAGAGAATGGCCTGTCAGAGAATACATACCCCAGCATTCGTCAAATGACGTCACACGAAAAGTGGCAGGTACCCCGCCCCTTTAGGGTGGGACTTCCGGTCAAGACCCTCTTCCTCTCCCCTCCCTCCCTCCCCCTCTTCACTTCCTCTTTTCCTTAACCATAACCCTACCCTTCACCACATACTTCCTCTTTTCAACGGATGTTAGCCTAACCGCATCCTTTGCAAAAGTTTCAAGTGACCTTAGACTTACTTACAGTCTTGTCCCAACCCTTAAACCTGTCAAAGTGTGAAACTTCTCATCCAATTGATCCATTGTCCAATCAGCTCCTGTTTTAAGCCCCTGATCCCGCCTCTCTCCTCGGCCCACCTCCTTGGTCACTCAGCCCTCCCTGAAAGCTGTCAATTCTGAAACTTTTCATCAAACATGTCCATCAACCAATCAGCTCCTGTTTTAAGCA